CTCTGCATTGGCTCTAAATCCAGGATGATCTAGTTCACTTAATGTGGTATTTGCAGTATTGGTAGAAGTAAAAACCATCCGAAGGCTTTGAGTGCAGTACATAGAAACCATTAAACACAAAAATATACTTTAAAAACTTCATTCAAATTATCTGAATATTAAAAGAACAATTTTCATCATAATTCACTTTCAATTATCAAAATGAATAATCACTGCAGTTAGATTTAGGCAGAGGTGTATTTATTAAATACATTTAATAACAACCTTCTCAAAGTCTTCCTTTTCCTTTTCAGGATTGGTGTCATCAAACCGCATGATGAGTTTTCCCTTAAAGCTCACTTGATAATGCTGATTCAGGAGTGCAGCTTTGGCATGTCCAATGTGCAAATAACTGTAAACAAATTATTTTATAGCGTAAATAAATGCATCTCAATTAGAGTAGCACATCGTCTAAACAAAATCTGATTATACTATATCCACAATTGTAACTTAAAAACTCTGCTTGACTGAAAATGACAAATTAAATGCAAGTTTAAGTAGTAAAGAGCCAAGTGCTTCACCAAAACATAATCAACCAGAAATGGAAGCTCAGCCAATGGTAGAATTATTAGGTGGGATGATTAAATTCTAGTCATGATGTGGGTATTAAGGATGCTTAAGGCAGAGACGAATTGGAATCTCCTAAAAGACATTTCAGACTGGGACCTCAATGACTAATATCACAGCCATGTTGAGTACAGGAAGTGACTTCAGCTATGAATGATCATCTAATCCCTGTTTTTATTTTCCACCAACTTAGACACGTATAGTGCCTGTACGTAAGAACTAGGAGCAGGAGTAAGCAATTCAGGCCTTGAGCCTGCTCTGCCATTAGTATAATCATAGCTGACCTCAACTCAGCCTCAACTCTACTTTGGTGCCTGGTCTTCAAAAAAAAAAAAAAAAAAAAAAAATCAACCCATTTCTAATTAAAAATCCATCCCCTCCTTAAACTTATTCAGTGTCCCATCATCTATCACATTCTGGGTAACAAATGTCACAGCTTCATGACCATTTTAGTTATAGGCGCATACAGCATGGAAACACGCCAACACATCCATGCCAAGCAGGTTTCCCAAACTAAACTACTCCCATTTGCCTACATTTGGCCCAAATCCCTCTAATCCTTTCTTATACATGTACCTGTCCAAATCTATAACTCAGCAATTAATGTTTAAGCACCTCTGGAATGATTCAACAATACCAGATTAGAACCTTTCAACGCTCTCCATCTCTTAAATCTGTTACCCTTATCCTAAAACTATGACCTCTCATTCTAAATTGTCACACATGAGGAAACATCCTCTCTACATCTGCTTTGCCAATCTCCTTTAACATCTTACATTCCTCCATTAGATCATCTCTAATTCTTCCAAACTTCAGAGAGTACAGGCCTAAACTGCTCAACCTCTCTTCACAAAAAAAAAACCCTAATCTCTGGAATCAACTACTGAATGTCCTCTGAACTACCTCGAATGCAACTACATCAACTGAGGGGACCAAAATTGTACACAGTACTCGAGGTGTGGCCTCATTAATGTCTTGAACAGTTGCAGCAACACCTCCCAACATACTTTTTTTTACACTCCAATTGTTTTAGCAATAAAATGTCAAAATTCCATGTGCCTTCCTTATTACCTGCTGTACCTGCATACTCACGAAACATGACAAAAAATCTTAAGGCTCCTCACAGGAGCATTACCAAGCGAAATATAACACCAAGCCACACATGGGGTCATTAGGTCAATGACCAACAGCACCAAGATGTAGATTTCTAGCAGTGTTCAGAAAGTGGAAACAAACAGTAGAGAGGCAGAGAGAAGGAATTCCTGAGCTTAGTATTTATGCACCTCAAGGCACAGCCAGTAATGGGTAGCGATTTAAGTCGGGGATTCTTAGAAGACCAGAATATCATGGGTGGTTGTATACAAATAAGAAGGGGTACATTATGTAGGTATTTGAAAACAAAGATGAGAATTTTAATTTCCAGGCATTGTTTGACCTGGAGCCAATGCAAGTCAGCAAGTACAGGTGTGACAGATGAACAAGACTTCATAAGAGTTAGGACACTCAGTTTTGGACGACTTCAAATTTGCTGACTGTAGAATGCTGGATACCAGAGAAAAGTGCATCAGAATAGTCAAGTCTAGAGGTAACAAAGGCATGAACAAAAATTTCAGCAATGGATGTGATGAGACAGGGCCAAGGATGGATCTTATGGACTAGCTGAGTTTGTACTGTAGACATCTGACATAACGTGGATTAATATATAAGGTACAATGAGTTTGCTGATAGTGAGGGAATCTCCTTGCACGCAAGAAAGAGAATCTGACATGAATGGCAACCTCCTTTTACATTTATTTTAATTAACTATTAATATGGCAACTATTACTATCTGCACTTTGCTGCAGTTAGAATAAACGGGCCCTATCGTAAATGGATATTCGAATGATTTTCCAAAGTTTGGTCTGACATCTGTTGAATCCCTGAGAAATGTTGCAGTATAAATACTCATACAATTTCTCCAGGATTTCCTGGAATTTTCTGCTTAATCGTGACAATTGAAACAGACAGGTTGAGTTAAAACTAACACCATCTCAACTTGCACAAGTTGCCATTTGCTGCAGCCTGTGAGATCAGCTCAACTTAACATTCAAAAATAGATTTCTCATGCTAAAAGGAGATAATTTGCTTTTTATAAATTTCTGCTCCAATCCACATAGTTCCTTTGTTTGAAAAGCACACACTGAATAAACATGCAGGGAGAGAAGGAGGTTAAGCTAACACAATTAGGAATCACTTCCACCTGCGAAAAACAAGATAAACTTTTGATCATCCAGGTATATTGTACTTCATTACTAGGACCCCAACATCCACGTGGTACTGGACTTTCACTCAACATCTCTTCCTCCTTGTAATTACCATTTTTGATTGCAGTTTCTCTCCCATGACAAAACTGCTTTATTTATTCAGTCACGTTCACATTTTAATATTCCAATTTCTCTCATTATATTCAGTATCTTTGAACCACAGTTCTGCCCATCACCAGTTTACATTCCTAGTCCAGTACATTTTAAAATTAGTAGGTAACAACTGACATAAGAAAAATGTGTTCATTTTTACATTATTTTTCAAATGCACACTTTTCAGATCATTTCAAGTAATTCCAAGCCTAGAGATAGTCGGAACTGCAGATGCTGGAGAATCCGAGACAACAAGGTGCAGAGCTGGATGAACACAGCAGGCCAAGCAGCATCATAGGAGCAAAAAGGTTGACGTTTCGGGCCTAGACCCTTCATCAGAAAAAGCCTAGAGTTGGATGGCTGGCCACCAGATGGTGCAAACAAAGTTAAAGCAACTTAAGGTTTTATTACAAAATAGAAAATTTGAATCCATCCACTCACCCACTGGCCTCAGGTGGAAATCTTACTACCACTTTCCCCATTTCTGCACCAGGCAGATCAACAAATTTTCCACGATCCTCTTTCTTCTCATTCACCTACACAAATTACAAACATTTGTTTAAACAATATTAAATAAGATCCTAATTCTAAATAACGATGCTGACCCATCCAATTTAAACCTTTTTTCTAAAGCATAAATTATACAAAGGCCAGAGTGAAATGCATTCAAAGTTCATGCACTTCTTAAAAAAGGTATTGAGTTGTCCAGTATTGATCCCACAAAATAAATGGCCGAGCAGCTCAAGGCTTCTGAAAATTGAATTGGCTGACGTTCAACTGGGCTCACTATCAACTTACTGACACAAAACTACATTAGAACTAGTATAAAATTGCCAAGTAACTTGTTCTGTATTTTATTATGTTCCTTTTAAATCCAACATATCCCATTGCCACATGCCACTCTGATCAAGGCAAGATGCCAAAAATGAGAGAGACCGTACACGTGCCAATGTTGCTCTGAAGTTATAGGAGAACAATCCAGGGTAACAGACTCATCAAATGACCCGCTTCCAAACTCCAGAGAAGATCTTGCTCATAGAATCATTGTTGATACCAGGAATAACCCAGGCGATGTTTCTACCTTTGATTCCTATTTGTGAACAATGCGCTGGAACTCTGGATACTGTAGCATCGAGCCTTTCCCAGACTCTCAAGCAACTTTCCTGTAACTGTTTACTACTGTATTAATATTGTATGCTTCATAAATTAACTGTAATGCTAGATAGATATAGCTCTAAGATTAATGAAATGAGACAGCCAACTAAAATAGGAATGTTCAACAAAACAAGAAATCCTGGGAAAGATGAACAAAAAGTAATACAAAATAAATAGTATATGGTTAGGAATTAGAATGCAGACTCAGATCTGAAACTGAAAGATAATCATTTCTGTGGCATTTGTAGTGAGACAGCTCTTCAGTTATAATAATTCAGCTAGTCACAAGGTTTTAGAAAAATGCACACTTACCACTGTGTTCTGTGGAGTTTCTGTTGCCCATTTTTTACACACAGACTGAAATGCATTCTGAGCACCAAGGAAGTTGTACCAGCGCTTAACATGAGTTGATAGCTTATTTTGACTTAGTTGCTTCTGACAAAGGTTACTTTCTGTTGACAAAAAAAATACATAGTTCTTAATGACAAACTTCTTGTATCAATAATTTAATTAGTAGCCAATTTTGTTTTCAGAATTGTTTCATCATGTTATGAAGATACCTATATTACTGATATTTGCGGGCTTATGACTAAATGATTGTGAAATTGGCTCATTTGAAATACTGATAAGATAAGTGAACCTGTTTTTTCTTCAAACGTGTTTAGTAACCCTCATCTACATGCAAAAGGATGATAAACTGCAAGAGCCTGGACCACCCTACATTTTATCCTTTATCCTTCAAGAACAAACAATTATTGGACCAAACTATTTTCTACAAAATTAAACTAAAACTAAACAGAGAAAGTTTCTCTATTTTCTTTGATCTAGTGTATACACGTGCATGCATGTTGGTCTACTTAAAAGGATAAATCATTACACTTCCATACTTCAACTGTTGATCTGATTTGCAAGCTTGTAAAATAAGCATACTTTTGTAATAGAGGTAGTAGGAACTGCAGATGCTGGAGAATCTAAGAAAGCAAGGTGTAGAGCTGGATGAACACAGCAGGCCAAGCAGCATCAGAG